GCCACCTTAGGTGTATGTGGCTGGCGCCTTAGCCGCTTGAGCCACAGGTGTCAAGCCGGGTTTTATTTTCAATGACACATTTGTCACAAAGCAGTGAGCGCTGGGGATGTTTTCATCAGGGTGGGAGGCCCACATTTCGTCCTCTGGTGTCTGTTGTGGGCCTTGCAAATCGCGGAGCCCTGGGCGGACATGAACAGGCTCCTCGCACAGACTTGGTCCAGGAGGGTAGGGGGACGCTCCCACACATCTGCCATGGGGGGCCCTGGAGTGGCACTTGCAGCTCTCAGTGCTGACTGAGCCGCACTTCCCTGCATAGCCCGAGAGAGGCTCGATTACGTGCAGCAGCACCAGGACCTGCTCACCAGCTCTGAGACTCTGGGCATCGAGCTATTCCGCATCCCTGGGGCAGGGCTCTTCCTCGCCACTGCCAATCGGAGAGCCACCTCTGCCATCTACAAGTGGACTGAGGGCGAGTTCGCCTCCTACCAGAGCCTCCCCACACATCAGGCGCAGTCCTGGAGGCACTTCACCATCGGGAAAAGGGTAAGTCGGGGCATCTCCATCCTTTCAACTTGGAAAAACCCACAGAGCTCAAGGGTTGGGGCTCCTCAACTGTCAAGCGCTTCTTGCAGTTTTCAGAGCCTCATTGGGGTTGTAAGAGGCTCTCAAAGTCCCGCCCATTAGCTACACACAGCTCCAAACCTGAACGACGTGCTGCGCAGGTCTGTTCAGGTTCACAGCAAGGCTAGACCAGGTCAGGTCTAGGATGCGTCCGGTTCTGTGAGGACCCGTCCCTGGTCACTTAGAACCTGCTGCTGAGAGCATTTTGTATGAGCCAGTCCACAATGCAGAGGTCACTTCAGAATGAGAATACAGGAGTTACGTTCTGGATCCTTTCTTTTCTCACTTCACAAAGGTCGAGGACACATCATGTCCAGACAGACGGCCAGGGTGGCACCCAAGGAGGCAGCCCCTTCCAGCCCGGCTGGTCTGAGCCCCGGGTCTAGATACTGGGGCTAAGAGAGGCGATGGCATTGCATCATGGAGGGACAGATTTTCTCCATAGCCTGGACTTGTGGAGTCTCTGTGGAGTCTCCGTGGAGTCTCTCAGAAATTCACTCACCTGACAGAGGACAGCCAGGCCCTCCCTTGAGGCTGGACAAAACCCCTGTTGCCTGCCACTTGTAGCCCACCACCCCTGCTGCATCCATGTCCAGGAAAGAACAACTAGGTTGGGTTTTTTTGATTGTTGACATTTTAAGGGTTTTTTTCTTTTTCTCTTTTTTTGGAGACAGTGTCTTGCTCTGTTACCCAGCTAGAGTGCAGGTGTCACCGTAGCTCACTTAAGCTCAAGCAATCCTCCTGCCTCTGCCTCCCAAGTAGCTGGGACTACACGTGTGTATCACCACTCTTGGCCAATTTTTAAAATTATATTTTTGTTGAGATGGAGTCTTGTTGTGTTGCTCAAGCTGGTCTTGAACTCTTGGCCTCTAGTGATCCTCCTGCCTCCTAGACATGAGACATCTCACCTGTCCAGTTTGTATTTTTTCATTATTAAAAGCGTTGCCTCTACCAAGCAAAAATTGGAAATTCAAAAAAACAGGGGGAAAAATATTTTCTCCTGTCACCTAAGCAAATACATAGCGTCAGTGGCCATCTCGCCCTGTGCCAGTCATGAAGGAGGCCCTGCTGCACCCAGCTGTGACCACACAGCTGCCCCCTGAGGCCTGGTAATGTCACCTCGTCACATTGTCACACAGTTTCTGTGTTTGACACCTTGGCGGTGCCTTTGTGTGATGAGCTAGTCTTACTTCCCGAGAGAGCTGGGAGTTAAGAGAGTTTTTTCTGCTCACCCATGTTGTGAGAACATTCTTGTGTGTTAAAGCTTTCCCTGAGTTTGAAGGTTTTTTGTTTTTGTTTTTGTATCATTTATGCCTTCAGATAGAGATAGAAGTGGAAATAATGTGCTAATGTATACAGACATTTTTAAAGGTCTGAAGCATAATGAATGGATCTGGAGACCTAGCCACTGGTTCCTCCCTACTCAGTGACCTGGGTGGAGGGGGGGCAGGGATGAGGGTAGGTGGGAGTGGGACCCTGGTGTGTCCTCAGCCACACTGCCACCACTCCCCAGCTCCTCCTCCTTCAGCCTCCTGTCCCTGTTCTGTTTGGATGGAGTGGGGACTTGCAGGGGGATGCCGTAATCACAGACACAGGGCCCTGCCCCAGAAGAAGGAGTTGTCATGGTTGCTTTCTTTCAGATCTTTCTGGCTGTGGCTAATTTTGAACCAAATGAAAAGGGCCAGGAGTTCTCTGTCATATACAAGTGGAGCCACAGAAAGCTGAAATTCACCCCATACCAGAGGATCACTACTCACAGTGCTCGGGACTGGGAGGCCTTCGAGGTGGCTGGGGAGCACTTCCTGGCAGTGGCCAACCACCGGGAAGGTAAGTGGATGTAGACTTTGACCCAAAGGAACCCATTACCAGGACAGGAGGACTTTCACGGAGGTGGGTGTAGACTTTAACCCATTCCCAGGGCAGGCGGACTTTCACGCAGGGTGAAATTTTTCTCATTGAAAGATGCAGGCTTAGATGCAGCCCTGTCTGAGGGTGGCACAAGACACGGTGCCTGCTTCACCTGTCTGGGGGAAGATGCTGGCTGCGTGTCCTATGCAGTGCCTGCCCACAGGCACGTGACGTGGGCAAGGTCCCACTTAGACTTTGCCCTGTGTGGGCTACCTGGGCAGCTGGCCTGTGACAGTCAGGAGAGTGGACAGGCATATGGGTGAGCAGCCAGAGAAGGAGGTTGGACCTGGAGAAGCTGCCAGGAACCTTGCTTCCCTGAGTGCACAAACTCCATCAGGCTAGCCGGGTGGGGAGTGAGGCCTAGGAGGGGCCAGAGCATGAGTAGCTGCCAGCCAGTCCTGCCCATCCTGGCACTCAGCGCTACACTACGTCTGAGGAGGCCCCTGTAAGGGCACCTCTGCCTCAGGCCTCCCGGGATCCTCAGCTTGGCCTCACCTGTGTTTATGGCCCCTAGTCAGGCCAGCGACCAGTGCACCCCGTGGGGTGAGTGTTCCCATAGAGGCAGGCCCAGGAGAGGGGATCCAGGGAGAACTGTGGGGTGGGGCCCTCAGGGAGCACCGCGCATTGGGGAGGCCCCCAGTGAGTGCCATATGGGGAGGGCCCCCCCCCCGGCAGAGGGAGCAGCATGTGCAAAGGTCTGACCTAGGGAGACAGAGGGGAGGGGACCTGAGGAGTTGTGGCAGTGTGGCTGGGGACACACCAGGGTCCCACTCCCACCATACCAGCAGGGTCTGGAAGCATGATGTGAAGGCCTAGTGGGGTCCTGTGAGGGGCTGAGGCTCAGGGTGTGTCCCAGCAGTGCACACTCTTGCTGGTCTGCAGGGGAGGACTCAGGGCAGGGCTGTCGAGTGGGCTCTGGTTTCATGGAGGTCATGGTGGGCGTGGAAGTCTGTGTCCCCTCCCCTGATGCAGCCCTGGGCTCCAGGTGACAACCACAACATTGATAGCGTCATCTACAAGTGGAACCCGGCCACCCGCCTCTTCGAAGCCAACCAGACCATCGCCACTTCTGGTGCCTACGACTGGGAGTTCTTCACTGTGGGGCCCTACTCGTTCCTGGCGGTGGCCAACACCTTCAACGGCACGTCCACGCGGGTGCAGTCCTGCCTGTATGTCTGGCTGCTGGGCTCCTTCCAGCTCTTCCAGTCATTCCCGGTGAGGAGACAAGTGTGGCCCGGGGCCCCCTGTCGCCCACTCCAGTGGGCCCGTCCCCAACCTCTCCATCTGCAGCAGCTGGGACAGGTGACTTGGGAGGTGACCCCAACCAGCCAGACAGGTGTGGCTCTGGACAGGTGTGGCTCTGGCTGACAGGGTGCTGTAGCCTCTGGCCCTCTGGGAAATGAGGGGCTGGCTCTGTCCCTATCCTGCCATGGACCCTTCCCCCCAGGGCAGCTGTGGGCTTCCTGGTGCCCTCCCCAGGCTGTGGCCTGATACCCAGGTGGCTCTGACCTGGTTAGTGAGGCTCGTGCAGGGCAGTGATGCCACCACCAAGGAGGCAGCACTGGGGAGGCGACCACAGAGATGGATGCCCTGATCCTCACGCCAGGGTCTCGGGCTTTGCTAAGCTGCCTTGTGCTTGGACAAGAGGCCCTGCAGAGGGGCGGGTGAGGCTTTCTGGGTGGAATGACTTCAGGTGTTCTAGAACATTCCACACACAGATTTTCTCAGAGCCCACCTGCAGGTAGCACAGTGGGTAAGTTTCAGAACAAAAGAAGGAAGGACGAGCTCAGGGGCACAGGTCCCTGGAGCACCCTCCACCCTGCACAGTGAATGTGGCTTGGGAGATGGGACTGTCCCCCAGCTTGTCCTGCATTCCCAGATTTCCTCACTGAGGGTGTCACTGATGGCCGGGGGACCTGCTGGGTCGACCCTTTTAGGAGGGTTAGAAAGAGGGTGGAGCGCCCATCCCTACCCCACCCCACCCCACACTGCAGGTATAAAGAGCGGGTCTGAAAGCCCCACCCGCAGTCAGGGCCTCCCAGCAGGGCTCCCTGCCAGGTGTAGGTTGTAGTAGCCACAGCTCCTACCAAGCAGCTCTGCCCCCAGGTGTCTGGGCCAGGTGCAGGCCAGCCAGCTCCCCAACAAGCAAGACCTAAGACCTGATAGTGCTTCCCCTACCCTGTGCTTGGGGCAGGATTTTCTCCACTACTGACTGGCTCATTTTGGAGGGATTTGTGTGTGTGTGACTATGTGTGGGGTATTTTTGTTTGTTTGTTTGTTTGTTTGTTTGTTTTTTGAGACAGAGTCTCACTCTGTCACCCTGAGTAGAGTGCTCTGGCATCATAGCTCACAACAACCTCTGGCTCTTGGGTTCAAGCAACCCTTCTGCCTCAGCCTCCTGAGTAGCTGGGACCACAGGCACCCACCAGCATGCCCAGCTTGTTTTTCTATTTTTAGTAGGGATGAGGTCTTGCTCTTGCTCAGGCTGGTCTTGAATTCCTGAGCTCAAACAATCTACCCTCCTCAGTCTTCCAGAGTGCTATGGTTACAGGTGTGAGTATTCTAGAGTGCTGTGATTACAGGTGTGAATATTCCAGAGTGCTGTGATTACAGGTGTGAATATCCAGAGTGCTGTGGTTACAGCTGTGATTACAAGTGTGAGTATTGCAGAGTGCTGTGGTTATAGCTGCGAGCCACCCCATCTGGTCTCATTCTGGAATTTCTGACGGCAGCCTTTCTCATCTTCCTGTTTGAAAAACCTTCAGAGGTATTGGGAAGATGGTCCCCTGGGAGGTGTCATGTATTCGCTGATGTGGCCCCTCTGACAGATGGCTGCTGTCCTGAAGAGACATCAGGACAAGCTGCTGGGCTCTATACATCTTGGTGTGTTCTGGAAGGCAGTCAGGAAGCGTTTGCCAGACGCAGCTGCTGGATAAACGGGCTTCTGTCGTGGGTGACATTGGTGGAGATGGGCAAGTCCTACTCCACCTCTTCAGGCTGCATGTGAGGATGGACAGCAAAGGGGCCAGAGGGGAAATCTGCATCATCCCAGGGGAGCGGCCAGAGGGTGGGTGCTGCTGGAGGACCATGCAGGGGAAGGAGGGGCCAGAGCAGGACATCCGGGCAGAGTGTACAGTGCCAGTGCCATGGGGCAGGACCGTCCTGGAGCAGGAACTCTGGGAGGTGGAGACTGTGTCCTGGGAGGATCTGTGGGGACCCTGGGCAGGTGCTGGGACCTCGCACACAGCAGTGGCTCCCACTAACCTGCCACAGTGGCTGCTCCTCTCAGTAATTCCTCAAAACCCACAGAAGTCCACTTTAATGTTTTGCCAACATTTTTCATATTGTGTTTAAATCCTTTTAGGTCCCAGAGGAGTCTTACTTTGTTTACTGTTTGCTTTGAGTTTTGCAACATCTTTCATGAACATAAGCTTTGAAGCAGGCATAGCTGAGACGCTTTGAATGTGTGTGAGAGCGTGTGAGTGGAGGGCCGATGGGCTGTGGGGGTGTGGGGTGCAGCAGGTTTGAGCGGCTGTGTACACAGGCCTCACTTGCTCCCAGGACAGGTTGGGGGACAGCCAGGATCCTGCAGCTGGCAGAGTTAGGCACCTCTTTCCTCTGCCCCACCCTCAAGGTTTCTGCATATCCCACCAGGAGTTTGAGAACCTTCCTCCAGGTAGTAGAGACTGAGTCTGAGTCTCCAACAACTGGACCTCCCCATCTTAGTCCAAAGGAGAGTTGTGCTCCATCCCCAGAAACCCTTCCTCTAGGTACTGAGATCCCTTCTCCCGGCTGGGTGTGGGGCACCTGTGCATGGTCAGGAAATGGCAACTTCAAAGTGGATTTTGCTCCTGAGTGAGTTTGCTACAAACTTCAGAAAGTCTTGCAGATTTCTAAGGGTTGTGAAAATGTGGCTGAGGGCTTGTGGGGTGGTGGGAGGACAGCCACAGCCACATGGGCAGGGCCCCATGTCACAGCTGTGCTCTGGATGCAGTGCCATGTGCTTCCCCGACACAAGTGCGCACATGCATTGCACACTTGCCTTGAGGCAGTGGGAGGGCTAGAGGCACCCATAGCAAAGCCACAGTGGGTACAGTTTTGGGGACAGGCACTAGGCAGGCAGTAGCTGAGTGGTTAGACAGGCAGGTGGAAGCCCACTACTCACCATCAGGCCTTGACCACAGGTACCTCTGAACTTCTCTCTGGGGTCATCCCTGCTGGGACAGCCCTTGGAAGGGATGTCAGGACGGGCCAGGGCAGCAGGGCAGGGCTCCAGGGGAACCACTTGGGAAGGAGGGAGGTGCCTGCTGCCTCAGCTGTGGGCAGGAGGGCTGCGCCAGGAGTACTCCCTAAGGTATGTCTGCTCTGTGACTGGGGGCTGGCAGTGGCTCAGGCAGCTGATGAGGCACTGGGTTGAGGGTCTGCTGGGCAGAGAGAACAGAGAGGAGCCCCCTGAAGTTGTCCAAGGAGTATGCTGAGTCTCCTGGGCCTCAGCCATGGTGAGGATGGCAGCACCCCCCCCAGACTCCTTATGGGCTGCCTACCTTGCCCTGGTGGTGTCTCCCACCTGTCTCCACCTTCCCCAGACTACAGAGTCACCCTTGATCTGTGGTCCTCACAGCCAGAGCCCAGGGGCCTCCCTGCCCAGCAGCTAATCTGCTGATTACCAGGTGCCCACCCTCAGGGGGCCGCCAGGGGCCCCAGGTGCTCCCAGTTCCCAAGCCTATGGGCAGCAGGGCAGGGCTCCAGGAGGAAGGGAGGGAGGAACCTGCCTCCTCAGCTGCAGCAGGGCTGCGCAGGGCATATGGCATGACCTTTCCTTTTCCCTTCTCTGCGAGTCCGCAGTGCACTTTGAGTCTAGAGTGGCCAGGGCTGGTGCAGCCCTAGGGCAGGGTTACCTGTCCTGTGAGGGGCTACTGACAGCCTGGCATGAGGAAAGAGGGGTCATTGCCAGCCTGTAACTGGCCAGCCATGGACCTGGGCAGCTAGGAGCTGGGACAGGAGCTGGTGACACCCACATGGGCTCTGCCAGCCTCCCCCGCCCCCCGCCCCGGTTTCAGCAGGAAGTCGCTATTTTGTGAAAGTTTGTCCTTGGTGTTGTGTAGGTTTGCACAGACAGAAAACCATTTGTCGTTTAGCTGAAATTCAGACTGAACGGGTACCCTGGGTTTGCTAATTCATGCGGACCCTGGCTGGGCACAGGGACAGGGAGGGCATGAGCTGCCTGCAAGCCAGTCTAGCCACCTGCCAGGCCCCAGCCCTGAGCTGTGCTCCCTCCAGCTACATGGCTGCTCCCACATGGTGCTCCCTCCAGCTACATGGCTGCTTCGTTGCTCCAACCAGCTGCCTCCCACAGCTAACTCGTACTCACAGAGCAGTTGGAGCAGCCCAGGGCACAGTCAAAATGCAGCTCCATGTCTGCCTCCTGCTGACCCAGGAGGTGGGCACAGCCCCTGTCCTGGAGTCCTGGGGCATTGCAGGCCACACAGTGAAACTCCAGACCAGGGAGCTCCCCTGGCCCCCCAGGCTCGCGCAGCCCCAGAGCCACCCACACTCCTAGGAAGTGCCATGTCCCCTCAGGGGCCCTATGGCCTGTCTCCAAGCACCTGGCCCCTTCTCCAGAGGTGGGACACAGTACCCTCCCCATGGCCCTTAGCTCACTCTCCCCTGCCCAGCTCCTGTGGGTTTGGAGCCACCCATACATCAGACCTTCTCCTGCTCAAGAGCCTTCTCTAGCTCCCTAGAACCCATCCTTGACGCCAGGCCCTCCTGGCCTGTCCCAGCTCCCCTCCCCTCGACCCTCAGCACTTGCCCTGCTGTTCCTTCTGCCTGGCTGTTCTTCCCTGCCTCAGTCCTCCTGTGCTCCTGAAGTCCTAAGGTCCTCCACAGCCCTCTCTGCAGGCCCCTCTGCTCTGGAGCTCCTTGGGGCAAGGGGCACCTCACTTGTCACTGAGATGTAGTCTGGCCGGCCACCAGCACATGGTTGGTGCTCATTACACAGCCAGGACACCAGCAGCAGGGGTGCACACACAGGGCTTCCCTTAGGGAGTGAGCTTTAGGCTCTTCTGGCTTTTGAGAGCCCAACCCAGCTGAGGGCAGGCAGCTCGAAGCTGGAGGGAAGCCCTGGCAACCTAGGAGATGTGCTGTGTGGCCGGTCATGTGTGTGGGGAGCACACATATGATGCCCACTGGGTCATGTGTGTGGGGTACACACA